CCCCCCCCCCCCCTCTCTATCTCTCTATCTCTCTCTCTCTCTCTACCCGTACAGCACAGAAAACCAGACACTTCAGCAAACTTAAGGTTTCTCGCAAAGACCTTGGCAAGGGGCCAAACCAGCAGTTCTAGCAAGTATAGAACATTTCCACAGTCAAGAAAATGAGAGGAACAGGGTGTTTGGGGCCGAAGGAGGCAAGCTGGAAGAACCACAAAGCCATAGGGTAATCACACTACCAACCGAGGCCGCAGAACCAAATACAGCTTTTGCGACTAAGTTGGGCAGCTGTGAAGGGTGGTACGTCTTTCCGTCTGGAAGTAATCAATGCCGTCCTTCAGGCCTTCACAGCATAAGGTGAAGGAGCGTGTAGGAGTGCGTATCGCAATACTTTTTTCTGACTTGAGCTAACGACGATGATTTAGCCACCTCTCGACGAGCGAGTCGAAGACGAAGTTTCGTGGAGTTGACCACGAAATCTCAGCGAGGTAACGACGAAGTTTCGGGAGAGTTAATGACGATGTTTTAGCCAGCTGACGACGAGCGAGTCAATAACGAAATCTCAGCGAGTTCATGACGAAGTTACGTTGTTTCACGGAGTTGCCGATGAAAGTTCACAGAGTTGACGACGAAGTTTCACAGAGTTGACGACGAAGTTTCACAGAGTTGCCGAAGAAGTTGCACAGAGTTGCCACCGAAGTTTCAAAGAGTTGACGATGAAGTTTCACAGAGTTGACGATGAAGTTTCACAGAGTTGACGACTCAGGGGGTTGACAAAGTTCCCACAAGTCAAGGACGAAGTTCCACCACGTTGACGTTAACATAATTTGAGCGAGTCAAAGACGAATTTAAGCGAGAGAGAGAGAGAGAGAGAGAAGCAAAGGACAATAACACATGGATTCAAAGCAGGCGTGCACTAACCAAGCAACGGGCCTCGGTCCACTACTCTCACCACATGCACAACCGACAAAAAATATGGCGTTGTATCTTTCTTTCCGTGTTCTGGAGGAAGATTCATGCACATCCGGAGAGCAGTGGAACGAGGCTCAAGGTGTGCACTAACGGAGCAAAGGTGTGCATAAACAGAGGAGCAAAGGACGAGGAGCACCACTACTCCATGTACGCGTATCTGGACTGTTTTCTCCACCTTATACATTCGGATTCGTTCGACAATTGAAATGCATTCGAACCATTTTCAGAACCAGATTCATTCAGGAAGTTACGCGGTGGAGCGAGGGAACGGAACGGAACAAACAGAACAAAACGCACATCAAACAGCTTTCAATTTCTAATATCGTAACGTAACAGAACAAAACGCACATCAAACAGCTTTCAATTTCTAATAACGTAACGTAACGGAACGGAACGGAACGGAGCGGAAGAGAGTGGAAACAACAAAAACCAATCAACGGAACGCAACGGAACGGAATGGGACGGAACAGAGTGGAGACATATAAAGCAAAAAAATAAAAATAAAAAAGCCACCCCAACCCCTTTCTGCTCTTCATAACCTTGTTGATGGTGATAAACCCGAAACGTCAGATCGGCAATGTGACCTGGGGCGTTGAGTGTCCTCAACGCCTGAATCTGGACGTGTTAGTGGATTTGTGGTGGCAACTTTCAGTCTACATACAGCGAACTGATTGCAGAGGCATTCGACCGACTACCGTCTTTCTTCATCCGAATAGAATCACGGTCATTACAGCTTTTCGTATTTGTGGCAACTTCCAGTCTACATACAGCGGTAATAAATGACCGGGCGTTCTATTAGGAGGGGGTGAAGACGGTGGCAGCTACTCTTTCGTTTCTTCTTCTTCTTTTAGTTTTTTTCCTTCTTTTCTTCCTTTTTTTTATTCTTTCTTTTTTTTACCTCTTTTTTCCCTGCGGCATGCAATGAGCCTTTAAGCCAACGCTCCCACATCTCTTAGGCCTCGCTCCATCACTAACCGAAAGTGCACAGCAAAACGAGCATGAATCTTTCGCTAGAACATGGAAAGATACACCGCCATAATTTCTGTATTTTGTGCATGTGATGACTGGTGGAGCGAGTCACTTGCGACCACCGCCTTTATGCAACGGCTCTTTTCTTTTCTTTTCCATTTTTTTTTCCTTTTCTTTTTCTTTTCTTTTCCTTTTTTTCCCATTTCATTTTCTTTTCTTTTTCTTTCCTTTCTTTTTTTCTTTTTTGACGGCGCGCAATGCGCTTTTCATCTCCACTGAAAAACTCTTCGACAGTTCCTTCTTCGCAGGGCCTCGCTCCACTGCACAACATTTTAAATGAATCTGGAGCTGTTACTGGTCCCAATCCATTCAGGTAGGGGATACTAACTCCCCATCCATAAAGCCAACAGAAACCGCATTCGAATTTTTATTTCATTTAATCATATAATAATAACAACAATAGTTAGGTCAAAAAAAAAGCTCCCTAGGCTTATTCCACCAAAACAAAACATAACAAGGGTTTCATTAAACCTAACCTTGACGTGCAATTTCCCAATTCGCAAATTCTCAACAGGTAGGGAAAAAAAAAATAAAAAAAATCCCGCCTCATTCTATTCCGAGGAAAACAAGGCAATCCAGAGTGCTCGCCTCGCTGTCTTTTCTTTTTTCTTTTTGCCTGGCTGTCAATTAAAATATTTACAAAAATGGGGAAAAAAGAAACTAGTTCCTAGTTTTAGCAAGCCCACTTCAATTCATGAGATATGGACAATTTGCAATTTAAATTCTAATGAAAATGAAAATGAAAATGAAAATGAAGTCGGAGGGAGGCTGAGGCGGCAGAAAAAGGGGCGCCKGGGGGGGGGGGGGARGGGGGSGGACGGCTGAGGSGGCAGAAAGAGCGGCGCAGAAAGAGGGACGCAGAAAAGAGGTGGCTGTGGCGGCAATTTCGCAGAATGATAACGATAATAATTTAAGCGGAGAATTATTTATTTAAAAAAATGGAGAAAAAATTGGTTTGCAAACTCTATGATCCTTTCTTTGGACTCTAATCCGTCGGAATCAATAAATTCCAAAAAAAATAACACTAAAAAAAAGAAAGAAATAGGCTCCTTGCCTTCCACATTAGGAATATCATCTCGCCGCTCATAACAGGAGGGTACACATCATCATCGTCATCACTATCAAATAATAATAATAATAATAACATATATATATCGTCACAAACAGAACTGCCCGGTAAACCGTAGGCAGAGAGAGAGAAGAGGACAACAAACGAGGGGCTGTGACAAACTGTTTGGTCGGAGTTTCACCGACTCATCAGCAGGCTGCGTGGGCAGAGAGAGAGAAGAGGACAACAAACGAGGGGCTGTGACAAACTGTTTCGTCGGAGTTTATATATGTATATTTTTTAAGCCTAATTCTTCCAGCCCAACCAATTCAATTACCTGTCAAATCTGGACAGGACGTCCTTTCAGGCCTTTTTTTTGTCATTTTCGTATTAATATATAACATTTGGGCATCATCACCATCAAAATAATAATAATATAAAAACAATCCTTTGGGCATTTAAATTCGACGTTCCTGGCCGCAATTTCGCCGTTTTTTTTTCAATCCGAAATCTCCAAGGCTTACCGGCTCCCGCCTGTAGGACATCACGATTTCGGTCCACTCAACGCCGACATTGCGGCCAGGTACGTCGAAATTAAATGTCCAAAAGGATAATACTAAAACATACATATATGATCGGAGCCGTGTTCAAATTAAAAAAAAAAAAAAAAAAAAAAAACATACATATGTCGTCAATTATTGCAAAGCGAATATCACACGTGGATAGGTTTCCCTGGGGTACTCGAGCGGCAAAAGGGAAAGCGAAACCTCCCACATACGGCAACACTCTACATGTATGTGGAGCTCATAATCATACCGATACATTCAAAATGTTGGACTCCAGCGAATGTACCTGCTCCAGAAAAGTGTCCAAATGCATGGAGAATGTTGAGCGAGGCCCAAAGTCTCTTCCCCTCATAATACTCACCATCCCTTTTCTCCTCCCCTCCACAGACCCTATCATCCCCCCTTGCTTCTATTCACTCGTTCAACTTGAAAAAGGCGGGAAACAAAAAAAAAAAAAAAAAAAAAAAACTCACGACCAACAATCTTTCTTGCAACTCTCCAAGATGCATGCCCTCTACTACACACTGACGCATGCTACCGTATATAGCGCCAGTTTACACAGTCGTCGGTTCGTTGACCAATACAAGTCCACTCAGTCATCTGTCGGCCCCGCGCTCTTCATCAGCTCAACTCTTCAGTAACCACATTCTCTCTCTCTCTCTCTCTCTCTCTCTCTCTCTCTCTCTCTCTCTCTCTCTCTCTCTCTCTCTCTCTCTCTC